ATTTAGCATAATGTCCTAAACTACTGATTCTGACGCATTTTCTTTTTTTGCGCATCTTTCGAATGTTTATCGGTTATCTACATGTATAAACTTGAATATAGAATGGTTGATATTTGTAACGAATCTGAAAAACAAAACATAGATTAAAATATTTGAAATCTTGAACGCCATCAAACTTGGCCAAACTGACAGTATTGCAAGTTTTGTTTATGGATGGCGGTTTTAATGCATGCTACCATTACGCTTGCGTCGACTTTAAGCAGAAGCCAATTTGCGCACCGACTTTAAGCAGAAGCCAATTTGCGCACCGACTTTAAGCAGAAGCCAATTTGCGCGTCTTCGGATAGACCTGACATTAAACAAATCTAAAGGCTTTTTTCATATTATAGAACAGATTTGCTCTTGAAAATTGACAACAAAACCACTATATAACCAAGTTTTGAAACAGATATTTGTCTGTAAATAAATTCACAAGGCCATTTTGGCTTGGTATTGACCTAATATTGGTACAAAAGATTTACATTTGCTTAATTTAGAAGGAGAAGGGACATCAATCTGAGATGATTGATCAACTGTCAACTGGATACAAAAGACTATTGACGCACTAGTGTCATGTTTCTAATATCTCTGATGATATTCAGACAATTCTCTTTATTGTCGCCTGTGATATACATGAATTGAAGCTCCCAATTCCCTTAACCAAAAACTTTAGTTATCGCCCTACATTTCTTAAGTTTTTCTGAGTTGGTTTCATGAGAAAAACAAATCCAATGTTTTTTTTTTTGTTTTTGTTTTTTTTTACTTGCGTTTCAAGATTTTAATACTATCGGTGTAACTGATTAAAACATGCTTTTAAAGGCATAATGCTTTATTTATATTGTATAGATGCGTTTGTTTATAATAATAAATGTTTTTTGTTGGTAGACGATTTGTGTGCAAAAGCATCCTTAGTTTTGTAAAAATGCACTTCAAACTCAAAATCAAATCCAAAGGCAAGAGAATTGAACAAGTTTGAATAATAAAAATGTGTACAAACAAAGTTATCTAAATTAAATTTTGAAAAAATGCAAATATTGGGCAAACTGTTAGATCACGTTTATGTTACTTTTTGTTTGTACCATTCTATATTCAATGATGTATGCAGTGGACTAGAAATGATTTGGATATGTTATATGGGAAGGTCAACACTAAACACTGGCAAAATATCAAATTTTACTATAATATAGGTATAAAATGACAACGTCGCACTTGTTTCAAAGATGAGCGTTGACAGCTTAAAGACGTCTTTTTCCACGATGTGATAGATATAGATATGTTCTGTATTTTATAAGTGAGATATCGCAAAATGGTTATTGAAATGAAATACAACACTAAACAATTTGTACACATAATGCACGCAATTAGTTAAACAATCCGTTTGTATAAAAATTCCTATATTGATACGTTGTTCCAATTCCCTCGGATAAAAGGAATAAAATAAGATAATAAAAATCCGAAAAGCATGTAAATTAATGAATCAGTGTTTATAAGTTTTATTTTTCAAATATGCTGTTCTATCCGACTAATTGGAAACCTTACTTGAATATAGTTAAGAAACACGCTATCAAAATTAATAATAATAACAACAACAACAATAATAATATTAATAAAAAAAAATAATAATAATAATAATAACAATAAATAAATAAATAAATAAATTATAGTAATAATAATGACAACGACAATGATGATAATGATGATGATGATGATGATGATGATGATGATGAAAATCAAAAGCAAAATAAGCTTCGGAGCACTACTTTGTAAGATGTATGTATATAACGTGTCCCTATTTACGTGTCCCTATTAGTGCACTAACTAGATGATTGCGTGACTTAAACATGTGATTTGAAAGTTCGTATTACAAAATAAAACAGTATCATAGCAAGAGGTTTGACATTGAGGTCATCATGTTACAGTTACATATATTTTATTACAATTTTGTTACATCGATATTTCTATTTAATGAAATACCTATTATCTGTGCCAAACCATCTTCTTTCTCATACAAAAAATTTCTATTTGAAATTTCCGGTTCTATACTTTCATTTTAGCAAAGAGATCTCGAACCTACGGTATTTTAGGTTCGACAAAGGTGGGTTAATGCACCTTTTTTCGTCCATTAACATCTGCAGAAGCACGATGACGAATTTAAAGCGGAAGCCCTTAGGGGCAAGGGATTTTATAAGTCCGAGGGCTACTACAGAAGCATAAAAAAGGTGCATTAATGCTATTCTTACGCAAAAAAATACGTTTAAATCGGTAATTCTGCGTTTTGTTTTTTTCGTGCTAGTGCGATGCATCAAGCTAGTTTTACATGGTACCCTGAGTCACGCATATTAAAAACAATAATAAAAAAATCATCTATCGAGGCGGGGTATACACCCCCCCCCCCCCCACAGACACTTATATAATGTATAGCTGCTTGCCCATTTCTAATTTCTGGCATGGCACAAGCATACGAAATACAGATATCAAAACGTGGAATTACAGATTTATTGCAAAAGGCCTGCGGGTTCGGGCTTTATAAGCGTGCTAGTGCTTCTGCAGACGTTAATTATACACAAGAATGGTGCATTATTAACCTTATGTCACGGTTCAGAACTGTTCACTATTTAGGGGAGATGATGTGTAAGCGGCCGGATAGCTCAGTCGGTAGAGCCGCGGTACGGTATTCCGAGGGTCCCGGGTTCGAGTCCCGGTCAGGCTGCACATTTTTCTCACCCTGTGACAATTGGCGCCCAACGGGGGACAAACATTGCGAACCTTGCCAATAACAGTTATTGGGCGCCAAATGTTACAGGGTGAGAAAAATGTGCAGCCTGACCGGGACTTGAACCCGGGACCCTTGGAATACCGTACCGCGGCTTTATTGACTGAGCTATTTGGCCGCTTACACATTTTTTTTTTAAATAGTGAACAGTTTTGAACCGTGACATACTTTACCACAATATTGAAATTTGTTTTTGAATTTTACAAAGCTACAGAGCAATGCTAATTGATTTTTGAGCTAGAGGCAGTTACGGTCCCATGTTGGGCGCCAAATGTTACAGGGTGAGAAAAATGTGCAGCCTGACCGGGACTTGAACCCGGGACCCTTGGAATACCGTACCGCGGCTTTACCGACTGAGCTATGTGGCCGCTTACACATTTTTTTCCCTAAATAGTGAACAGTTTTGGTTTTAAAAGGTGGGATTTGAACACTGATATTACTAAGACTTTTGACAGGAAGGCAATTTACAGAAGATAAAACAGTAAAAACATTACTTTATTTAGCTGGTACCTGACAGGTAGGGGCCAAAGTTTTAAGAAAATTTAAAACATTGGTACCTACAATTAGAGGAACTGAAAAAGAATACTTGGTATTTTGAACCACTAACAATGGCACAGAAACAGGGTTACAATTAACCTTTGGTATACCAATATTAACAATAATATAGCCAATGTAAGGAACAGAAGAACCATTAGCACTGGAAATATTTAAACTAAAATTTGTAAGGCTGTGAAGTTTTGGTTTAGGAACTAAGGATGAATAAAAAGATTTACTAATAGAAGAAACCATGCTTTTGGAATTAAGAAGACCTTTACATGAAGTGTTACAAATGAGAACTTTAACCTTATTGGCATGACCTACCAAAGGTGCAATATATGGGCCTTTAAAAAATGGCTGACCTTCTGTTGGCCCTGTTGAGAAGGTTACTTTCGGTTTAAAGTATTTTTTGGAATTTTATTTGTAACAGGCTTGTTAGTAGCCTTAGGTTTTTTTTTTGGCTGGACCCTGCTTTTTACTTTTATTACTTTATTTGCTTTTATCTTGGTATCCACCCTGGTAATTTCTGGACTTTTTTAAACCCTGAAGTTTTTTTTAACAGAGTGTGTATTTATATAAGGTTTAGGAAATGAATATTTGGCAGCAGGGGTACATGAAGGGGTACCAGTGCTGGTGTGCTAGATTTCACATAATGAAGATGGAACTTTTCGGAACGACGGATAATATTAGCATAATGTTATTTGGAAGGTCGTGAGTTGACATAGAAAAGTCACAAGAAAATTCAGCCAGACGCAGCCAAGTTTCGAACCAAGGGCCTTTGGATTGCCGGTCCAGTATGCTTACCATTAATATTTGTATGCATTAATTGATCAACTTGGAAACTTTAAAGCTATAAGTTACAAGGGAGGTAAACGTGAAAAGTATCTTAATGTGTAGTACAAACAGTTGTCTCTCTTTAGAAGTTTAAGATGGTTTTTAAACTCGATACTCCAAAATTATGTAAAACTTAAACTGGGACTTGTAATCATTTTTTCCCATTTTTTTTTTTCAATTTCATTTTATTTTCCATACATTTTTGTGGTTAGATGTTTATTTACAAATGGCGCCAAAACCTGATGAGCGTCCACTATTAAAATGACTCACTTTAAACACCTTCTTTCTGTCTCTTTCTTCTTTTTTGTATTACATTCATTGAAAGAAAAAAAATAAACGATAATATTTTTTTTTAGTTTTCTAGTTTCCCACTAAACAATATTTCTGGAGATGATATTGCCAAATTTGATAATGACTTATTTTATCATTCATATTTGAGTCGATTTTTTAAGATGTGCTATTGCATTGGCAACATCTTTTTGCGGGCATATTATTAAGTGGTATACTCACATAGTTAAATGATATTCATACCATTCATATTAATAGTAGAAATAGTGGGTCGAAAAATATTTTAAAATCGTACTTTATTTTATCAACTTTTATTTCACTAAAAAAGCTTTTAAATGTACCATGTATCATTATTTTCTATACATATCTAAACATTCGCCAAATTGATTGATTTCTTAAATCATTATTATTAATATTATACCTATATCTTAATGATTTTTTTAATTATTTGATTAAGGCCCTTATACATGCATGGGGGAATCTATGCGAATAAATTTTATTTACATCTGTAAATACTTTTAATTTTCAGTTTAGACGATAAAGGCGTTAGCATGAAGTATTTTGCAGCATTTACATCTATTCCTGGCAATATGAATAACTTCCGGAGGGAAGAGAGAAATTCGTGCCCGATTTACACAGGTAAGTTTTCCCCTAATCGTACCTCTAATTTGGAATTTCCCCCAATCTAATTCCGCGCGCACCTGTAACCTTGACCTTCTTCATAACAGAACGTCAACACGAGGTATATCATCGGTGTTTACAATCTGAATAATGCAGGAATACATGGTTGCAAAGTGTTTTTGTATTGTAAAGGTGAATATTTTCTCTTAGATATTCCTGTTCATCATGCACGACATTGCTAACTATTTGTCACGCGGTGTATTGAAGCAAATTTTAGTAGGAGTGGTAGCCAAGTGTCAAAACCAATATGGCCGCTGTCACTTCCTGTGTGAGTTAGGGTCAACTTTTTTTTTCATTTTACGCAGGTTCATGAACTGACATTTGTTATTGTATTAGCTTGCTATCAATTAAAATGTTATTATAACATATTGCATGAAATATATCGTGACATATTTTTTTTTTGTAAACTAGAAACGAATGATGAAAGTTAAATTTTCCCACACTGACTGAGTGACTAATCAAGAGCTTGTGTTACTGTTAGTATCGATCATATTATATTTAATATTATTTACTTAATTTGAAGTTTGTTATTTGTTTATAAGGTAACAATATGTTTTATGCTTATTATTCAAATATAATGCAAGAGGGTACTAACACAGTTACCACAACATTCTGCTTGAAAACAAAATAGTGTTGCTTACCCAAATCATTTTATTTTTAAACTAAAGCTTGCTGTAAATTATAAATGTAGTCATAAATAAAGTAAATAATAAAGCATGGTTTGGCATAAGTAGCCCCTACCAGCCCCCCCCCCCCCCCCCCAACCCAGTAAAGTCTGCATTACCTGTGCTGTAGCTTCATTACATAGTATGCAAAACTGTTGTTACCTTAGCTATGACATAGGATTCTGATCATATTGCAAAATACATGATTTGTATATTTGTATGATGGCACGATATTTCAGTTACTTAGACCACTGGCTGTCACTCATGAGGTCCCGGGTTCTATCATGGGTAACAGAGACACTTTCAGTGTTTCCCACCTAATTAGAGGTGTACTGGTAAGAAATCCAGGTAATCCTCGCATGTATCAGTGCTATACACTGGGGTTATAAAACATATAACATAATGCCACATATTTTGCAAGCACAAACATTTTTAATTTGCCAAAACAATATAAATGCCTAATTTTCTAAAGTTGACAGTTTAGCAATTTTTATAGATGATTTAAAACCTGGAATTTTCAGTTTTTGGGGGGAATTTTCAGCATATATCCATAGGTTGCCATGATTTGTTACCCTAAGCATTTCCATACTGTTGTTTAATAGACTATATTTTCTAACAGTTAAACAGTAACAATTATATATTTTCTTTATAATGAAGAAATTTGTCAGATACATAAAATTTATGTTGATGTTTAAAAATATCCAATTGTTTTCTTTCTAATCGAATATTGGTCCAAACTTAGTGACATATGATAAACCGAAATGGTGTTGACCCTTCTAGCCAAAGACAGGGACAAATTTAAATTTAAGTCACCCAATGATAATTGGGAATTTTTAATTGTTTTGTCAATGACAGTTTAGCATATTTAATGACATAGTATATTCTATAGATGTTTAACATTTAAAAGCTGAAAATCTTGACTTTTGGTTGAATTTTCAGGATATAATACAGAATTTTTAATGGTTTTATCAATTGGAAAAAGGGGTTTATTCATTATCAATTTTATGAAAAAAATCACTAAGTCAAACATATAATTATAAATAATATTTTCATGACATTTCTTCAAGGTTCCTTTGCTTTCAGTAGAGGAATTTGGTCAAAATATTTGATGCTCCTGCAACAATTTATAAGGATCTCAATTCTGTATTTAAAGAAGGAGTATAGATTACATAAATTATATTATAAAATCATCAAATTTAAGCGCTGCCTTTTAAATCTGTGCAGTCAGTCAAATGTAGATAAATTCATAATTGCCAGAAAGTTTCATGTAAGTATACAATAGATGAAAAATTGGTTGGTATGGTAAGGTTGTAAGGGTTTGAACATTAGATACATTGACAACCTCTTATCTATCTGTTTCCCATATCTCTTAAACTTTTTGAATGAAAATAAAGACAGTTTGAAACAGTATATTGATTATGAACACATGTGCACTTATGCATCAGACTCCCTGAAACAAATGAAAAAAAATACACTTTTTTAATTAAAAGTTTATATATATAGAAACTCAGTTTATAAACGAATCAACTTGACAGTTTGTGTTCTGTATTGAAAATATACTTATACATCTGAATGGTAAGACTTGACAAATTTGTATAGACATTAAAGGAGATTGCATGTTTAGAGATGAACTATACAAATTGTTGTTGAAACTAGATACTTTTCATTCATAAAACTGTCTTGTTTGTTAAAGTAGGTCGAGCATACTGCAGCCATTAAGGTAGCCGTCTCGGATTACTCTGTTTGGCCCATTACTCTGGTCCATTCATAAAATGTGGGAATCTGTTTTATATATGTAATTTAAATAGTCATATTTCCTTCTGTGTATGTGAATTTATCCACTAAAGATGTCATTTTAGTTACGACTGAAGTTAAAGAAAAGAAAAGCAGTGATTTTTGTAGCTTAATTGGGAAGAGGAAAAAATTGTCGTTTGGGAAGTGAAACAGCTGGTGTAAGTTCAGAGTTTTGGGAAAACTGCATGATTGGGAAGAGGCCTTTTATAGGCCTCAATTATATAACTTAAGTCAAATCACTGAAAAGATATACTCAGGGCCTATAATTTGCCTTTATAGTTACTAAAATGTCTATCATTTCACCAAAAGAACTTGAAGTATCATTGATCTTATACTTCCACACTTTTTGATTAAGTTTTTTTCCCACTCTTAATGTTTGAAATAAAAAAAAAAGAAAACCTACAAAATAGTTTGATATGAAAATTCTTTTTAATTACTTTCTTTTTTAACAAATTGTGGAATTTTGAATGAGTTTTTAGTTATTTCCCAGGTCTCTATTCACCTGTCCTATTTTTTTTAAAGGTATATATATATAATTCATACACACCTATTTTTTATGAGCCCCGGTAGCAGGCCTGGAGGGAAGCTTTGCCAAGAATGATTATTATGAAACAAAACTCCAGTGTTTGAATTCCAATAGATTATGATTGTTGATTTATGGTTCTGTTGTACATTGAAGGCAGTTGCCAGATTAAACCATAGTTAACATTCCAGTAAGCTCACTAGTATTGAAAACATTCATATTTACAATTTTACCTGGTTTTCAAGTTTTTCTTTGAACTTTGCACTTCAATGAAGGTGGCTTCCAAACTATGGGAAGCATGGGGGAAATAGAGTGTTTCCTGTCTTCTTTTCTGGCATAACAATAATTAAAAGCAGTTAGTTGGTAGTAAGAGAGTATTTGAGGTATTTTTGATTCATGGGGAAAAAAATATTGTGTTTTGTTTTAATGAATAAGATAGTACTTTGAACTTGCCAAATGGGGAATTTGTTAAGATGTTATATTGGGTAAATTTGGCAGAGGGGGGATGGGGGAAATAAATTTTGGAATAAAATGCAAGATCATTTTGAATTAATTAGCAGTATTTTTTGGAGGAAATGCTTTTTTGCAGAACATTGGTATTAGCATTTTGGTAACAGGTCCAATTCTTCAGAAAGATCAACACTGGTGATATATCATATATATATGAGCCCCGTCATGACAGAAACAACATAATGCGTTTGCGACCAGCATGGATCCAGACCAGCCTGAGCGTCCACGCAGTCTGATCAGGATCCATGCTGTTAGCTTACAAACCCTATTACAAGTAGAGAAACTGATAGCGAACAGCATGGATCCTGATCAGACTGCGGGGATGCGCAGGCTGGTCTTGATCCATACTGGTCGCAAACCCACTATGTTGGTTTTGTCATGACGCGGCTCATATCTCTATTTGTATCATGTTTCATAAGCTGTATTATTATGTGTTTTACAAAGAGCAGTCTGCACGTCCATGCCTGCTTGGTCATGGTATGCATCGTTTGCCATTCAATCTCGACATATTTTGAAAATTTCCTAAGAAATGATGAATTGACTGTGTCAGTATGTCCAGAGTAAATGATGGGAAAGTCCATTTAAGATATTAAGGGTGATAGAGGGCAAGTCCTTTCAAGATATTTATATTTAGGGTGATGAAGAATAAGGTTAAATAATTTTCATGTGCTGATGATACATGTAATATCATTAATATCAGTCTTAAAACTTCAAAAAAACATTTTTGAGTGATCTATAGCAAAACTGCTTTAATGCTGCATTAATAGTTGTAATATTAAAGTAATGAGAGTGATTCAAGGCTTGGCTAAAATCCTAAATACAACACTGGCCTGTGATATGTACGTAATTGTGGTTTTGGGGGCGTAGTTCAGACTGTTATAGAGATATATATTATGCCCCTTTTAAGCTTCAGGATATCATGAAATACATGAGATTTCACGATGCCTTCCCTTATCTATTTAGCAAATTAGCACAATCCTTTAACCTGCTGAAAGGATAATTAGCTGTGGAATTCCATAGAAAAATCATAGAATCTTCAAAAAATCAAAGGCGAAATCAAAGGTAAAGAACTTCATCCTATTATCTGGTGTTGATTGTTTAGAACAATCCTAGAGAAGCCTTGTGGTAATTGCATAAAGACCTCATTTCATAGTCAGTCAAAGAACCTGTGTGTGTTTGATATCTTTACTGTTATTTAGATGGGTTTAAAGTTTTTTTAATGTGGGTTGCTTTGCAGTGTAATTTTAAGGTGAAGTTTTCTTAGTGCTTGTTTTTCTGAACTTTTAAATGATTTAAACTGTGAAAATGTTCATATTCTTTATAAATGTAATGTTAATTCAGTAAAATCTGTTGCATTGTAAACAGGGTTGTTTGTTTGGCGTTTGGAGTTCATATGATTATCCTTTTGACTAATATTTACATGTACATGTATCAGATAAATACTCTTAAAAAATTGTAAGAGAATG